CACCTGCCTTCGGAGAATCGCTGTCCCCTAGTGCTTCTATAGCGTGCATATTACACATACCGCGTTTTACCTTCGATTACAGGATGTTGATATCCCTATCCAGAAAACACCCCCAAGGATTTAGCAGTTATTCTTTTTATTTTTAGTGCACGCTGTGTTGGACAAGCATTCGCCGTTATTCGGCGACGACACCGCCTTACTGCTCGTAGTTAGGCGCTGCTACGGACGAGAGGGCTCTGTAATATGTCTGCGTGCATAAAAGTATCTAAACTCATTGTGTGGATGTTCTGAGAATAGCAGCCGGGTGCGCTGAAAAGGAGAATGTGGTGTATTAGTTGGACGTAACAGCAAGTTGGTAACTCTCGCCAACTGTCCACATAGAAGCACAAGAGCGTAGGTTCAACGGTTTATTCTCCGAGCCTCTGAACACGTGGGGATTGAGGAGAGAGTGTCAACAACGGGGAACAGGGGTACGAGCATATAAACATCAGACGGTGGTAGTCACTGGGGAGGGCGATCAATCTCATCTGTCCGGTATTCAGGGATGTGTTCATTTTCTACCATCGTTACTGCCGCCGCATCTGAAAGTAGACAAAAGAGATTGGGATTAACGATGGCGCGCAGTTTGACGTCCGTCGGTACATTATACCTCCCCCACACGCGATTGACCAAAAGATAGGGCTACCTGCCGACCCAGCGTCAGGTCAAGCATTGATTGTCTGAGAGTCTAGGCCCAACAGCTAACCACTACTCGGTATCACCAATCATTATTTGCCAGTGGCTCATCTTGGGGGCTTGGGAATTCTCAGAATGTTTATAGGACACACCGTAAGAGTGTTTGACCTGGTTTTAGACCTTGATGGGCACTTGACATGGAAGTTTCAGACCGAGAACTAAGCTGAGAAAATACCGACATTGCAGGTTTGCACCAGGAATTACAAGTTAGTTAACGAAGATTCACATCATCCTTGTTTATTCCAACACAGTGATAGTGTAGACGTAAGACCGTGGCCCTAGGTACTTCAAAACGGGGGAAGATACAAACATGGTCCATCGGCAGACCACCCTCATAAAATAACACCCAGCCCCTAGGATTTGACTTCATTCACACTACTAAGACGTATGTGTCTGCTATTCCCGAAAGAACCACCCAATGTGCTGGGACGCCCGCATGGTGTAGTGTTTTGTACTTTTATTTTGCCTGCATTATAACATTACGTATTTTGCCAACTGCATAACCGTTTTTTGTTTGAATACGAAAGACTACAAAAACGCACACTTGTACAAATTCACGCACTAAAAACGTGGTCAAGTGCTTTGACTCTCTTTTGTGATTTCGCGCGCGCTTACAGCAGTTATTCGCGTGTCCTATGTGCCAACGCTGGTGTCAAGGCACTTCAGACCATCTTCGGAATCTGGTATACGTGGTAACTCTTCGGAAGAAGAACCTTGGACAACCATGATCGGATTTCTGTTTATTCGCTGACCCGGGCCAACGGCGAGCTATTTTGAAGGGAACAATCATTAGTGAGCCTGTTCGATCTGAACTTCTTATTATTGTATACCCAATCTAGCGTTGTTATTTTCATTTATTTGGTAAAGTAACATATCGGATAGCCGGATCAATACGGTGACATGCTGGAGACAGTTGTCGGTTTCAGAGGGTTGTTTATCACATTATCAAAATGGACCATCCGGGATTTCGCCTGCGCGGCCCTAGGCAGGCGATATATACTCAGCCATGTGTGACCTTGGGCAGTTGGGTAAATGGCCGGATTCACAACGAGCAAAAGTGAAGATGGAGATGGAATAATTCGGATTTGAGACACATGGCGAGTTTTGTCTCAATAATGTGGTTTAGTCTTATACTAGGCAGATTCACTGGTTGCACTGTTGAGGGAAGTCAGGTGCGGTGAAGAGGTTGGATGGGAGAAGGATGCTAATACGTAGGGCGACCCGAACACCGTGCACGGATTTGAACTTGTGAAGGAGGCAAGCCAAAATTTTGGCAGAAAAACCAGGCTAGCCAAATTTGAGCAAAGCTTCATCGGGTACAAGAGAGCTCATGCCAGAGACGGGGCCGTATGAAAAATCTGCTCGTGATTGCGACTACAAGCTTGAGTGGGTGAGGGGTTGCGGTCGAGATTCTGAAGAAAATAGCTGCGAGAGTGCCATCCCACTGGTTATGATAGTGCCATGCAATAATTGCACTGACATGCTTCGGTTTGTGGGCAGCCCCGTAACGGTCGTCAAGGTTGCCGCGATTGGAGAACGGATACGCAGTTCACGGCAGCTGGTTCTGACTGAGACGGAGGTTGACAGAGAGAGTCAGGCAGTCACAGGCCCACGGATAATTTCCCTTTCGTTGAAGGACCATGTGAGTGTAGACCGGAGACAAGCCCTTCTGAATGAATAACAGTTCTACTGGAAGTTTGGGGAACTTCAGTCAAGGTTCGAAGCATGCACTAATATACACGGCAGAGAACCGTATAGGTGCTTCTCGCATGAAATTCTAAACACTCTATAGGGCCTACGTCAGACCGCTTCTTGGATATTTCTACTCAGGACGCAAAAAGAACGTCACTTCCATCGAGCGTGTCCAAAGAGCTGGTATGAAAATGGTCACCGGCCTTAAATCCATGGACTACGAAACACATCTTGCGGTGTTTCATCCCTCTCCCTTGGAGAGTGGACACCATACTTAAGTTCTGTTTGAAGAAGATCACCATTAACACAATGGTGACATTATAAGGGGATTTTCAAGCTCACAGAGCACAATTTTACCAGGCAACATTTTCTCTACTTGTTGCAGTTAGTGCACGGAGTGTACTTTCTCCTACGTGTGTTCACGCAGCACCCATTATCCACTTCAACGCTTTCTGCGAATACTCGCGCTGAGAATTAAAAGTGCGAAGCCGCATCTTTTTTCGTTGTTCCTTTAAGCTAATCGGGAGCCTTTGAACGACAAGAGCATACTCGACACGGGAATCTTAGCCAAAATTTTCGATCCTACTTTCCAACATGAATCCGTGACTTCGCTTTAGGTATTGATTGGTTTCGTTTCGTTTCATTCACCATCCTCTCCTTGCTACGTCTACCAAATTCTGGAACATCAGTGCCTGACTTTTCAAGTGTTCTTGATTACAATGGACGGACCTCGCTTCGTTTTTGCAACCATCTTGCAATTGGTAGAATGCGTATCACCCCAAATTTAGAGCCATCTCTCGGATGCATGCATTTGGGGACAGTTGATTAATCGGCCACTCTCGTTTTCCCACGAACGCACGCACCTCAAAAGTTCCTTGGCTTCACAGGCGTGAAGGGACTTCCCGCGTATTGAATTTGATGATCCTTCTGTTAAGGTGCACCGTGATTATCTGGGACCATCTGTCTCATGATTGGTAATCAGTGGGTGCTCCGGAGGAATAGAGTACAATCTGGAAGAGATTTTTTCGCAGAAATTACATAAGAGTGAATACTCCATCCAAATCACGCGTGCTAGCCCTCCAATTAGGGAATGAATCGAATGAATTAGTTCACAAATTTTGACGTGCAGTCAACCGGGCGAATTTCGATACTACTGCAAACACGGACGCCCGTTTACCCGGTTAGCACCGGTGCAGAAATTTCTGCAGAATTTTTGCACCCGGATGCGGGAATTTCCGCACAGTGTCCGCAGATTCTGTGCGGAAATGAAACAAATTTCCGCGCCCAGTCCGCACCCGGATACGGAAGTAGTGGAGACGTTTCCGCACCCGGTCCTCAGTTATCTAAGGTTGCGTGAATGCAGCCCATTATACGTACTTATCTCTTTCCCTATTACAATTCAGTAACTTCCTAAACACTACGCTCCCATGCCGTGATAACCCATATGCCCTCACACAATTGCTCAACATATTACCTTACCGGATATCAATAAGCGCCTTCAATTACAAATGCTTTTATTTATGAATGAATCCTTAAAAATACAGGGAAAAATCATTTGTCACTCTTGGTGGCTCTTTGTAGGCGTTTCCGAACTTTCTGTCGTTCGTTCTCCAGCCAGCGATAAGCGATTTCCTTTATTTGTCGCAGATTTGTGTTCGGAAACTTCTCACTTGTCGCGTCTGTAACGAATAACATAGTTATTGAGTTTCATCCAGACACTGATTCAACTAGCTAAATATAAAGTAACAATTAACTACTTACAAATAAGTCCTTGGGCCAGTCTGGTTGAACCTAAGGTTTAGTTTTCATTTATTCCGCGCCAGTTGAGTAGTACGGCTAGCCTTGTTGCCAACGTCCGCGTAAGCACGTTGCTCACATACACTTGCACATCGCCAGCCTCCTGCAAGAGCCACCTTTCCGCCGTTGTGAAGTCAGCAATCGTGACCACAACTAACACTTACCAGCTGTGCGCAGCCTGGACCATCTCTTAGATTTTCTTCATACTTTCGGAGATCATCCATGGATGAAAGCAAAAGAGGGTCTCGTTGAGTGCCCCAGAACTGCTAGTGGGCACCGGAGCGTCTAGCTTCATGTGAAGTCTTTGGAGCGACGGGTAAATCCTCTCTAAATTCTCTATAAAATAGTTTAATTAAAACATGGTAATCTACTCACTGAGAATGAGGTTGGCCAGGTCCGGGGAAATTACGCTGGCCTTTGAATTTGGACAGTTAGTTCTAGAAAGTAAAGTACATGGAATGTTACGAAAACCTGAGGATCGGGGTAGAACTGTGTGGTTCTGGATCGCCCACAGCGGAAAGTGTTTTGTACGTGGAACTGCTGATAGATTCTAGATAGTGGTGATGAAATAAACCGTACGTTCCACACGTCATCGGGGCATCACCAAGGACGGGTGCCGCGTCTTGAACAGGAATGATACTACTAATAATGGCAGTCGGATTGGTGCATCTGAAAATGAGGAGTTTACAAATTGAAAAGTGGTAGGTGCGGGAGGACTTACAGTCTTTTTGGAGTTGGTGAGCTTATGACTATGTTCGCACACAAAGTACTGTCACCACTGGAATCATGATCTGATCCGTCTGTAAAATCAGACGACAGCCGTTTCTTTGTACTGCAACCATTGTAATACGATTGATAAACATACTGTTTGCGCATGGATTGACGTAAGAGACGTTCATCGTTTTGCTCTTCAGAGTCAAAGGCCTCCTGTTGAGCACCCATTGCATCCGGAAAACTATCTAGAACATTTTTAACTGAACATGAACTTGCTGCAATACCGAAACACCTCGTACGTGCACGACTTGAGTGGACATTTTGGTAGGATACCCCTCAGTAAGTTGGCATATAGAACGCTGGTTGTGCACGAGGGCCAAAGGACTGAATCGGATGGTACGGACCACGATTCATGCACTAGGCCAACAGGGTTGTCCGCAAAAATAAGAACAGCGTACATGGCTGAAAAGCAACTTGCAAATACGACATTCAACAGGAGGACGTCCACACACAAACTGAAACTTTGATGGAATAACACAACGCCAACATTAATATGTAGATTTATATTTACGACATAATGAGTAACGCAAGTAATAAATGCATACATTCGCCGAGTGCCGGTGGTAAGAGTACTGACTAATCAATAAGGGTACGCAAAATTGGGATGTATATACGAATAACCTTGCGGGAAAAACTTAAGCATTTACAAGATATTCTGTCGACTGATGCAAACAACCGAGTGTTTTGCAGGTCGGAGCATTGAAAAACTAAAACGTCTGTCGATATCAATGCGTGAGTGTAAAATGTGAGAACAGTTTTGAATATCTGGTACTCATTAATATCTGTAGAAAAGTCTACGATGACTGCTGGTTGAGTGCCGGTGGTAAGAGTACTGACTAATCAATAAGGGTACGCAAAATTGGGATGTATATACGAATAACCTTGCGGGAAAAACTTAAGCATTTACAAGATATTCTGTCGACTGATGCAAACAACCGAGTGTTTTGCAGGTCGGAGCATTGAAAAACTAAAACGTCTGTCGATATCAATGCGTGAGTGTAAAATGTGAGAACAGTTTTGAATATCTGGTACTCATTAATATCTGTAGAAAAGTCTACGATGACTGCTGGTTGACCATCAAACAAAATGCAGTTGTCGGGAAGGTTTTTCAAAAAACGACATCCCCATGAACATACCTGTGACATCCTGCAGTGACTGATGGCCTCAGTCGCAAACCAACATCATCCAAAAATATCTCCCTTTCGACAGCATCCAATCCCACACGCCCGACCTGTCGGCGGTAAAGCTGAACAGCTGGTGGTTTAGACCCATGTATGTAGTGCTTCAGATGCCCCAGCTCCGACTAATAGGGAAGACAGGGAAAACGATCCTAGCAACCGCAAAGCTTGAGGAAACAGAAAAAATGGCAGAAGAGGTGTATGTTGTAGACTAAATTACTGGGGCCAAAAACAGCAGCAAATTTTGACACAGAAACCTTGGAAAAGTCAATTGATAAATCGGCGTAGTGTTGTGAAAAAAGGTGAACAGCCTATGAACGTGGTTACCGAAAAATACATAAAGCATTCGTAAACATCAGGATGTAAGATATCTCGTAAAACAACGGGTCCTATGTACAGAAGAAGCTGTCGTAGCTCAGATGCCTTCCACCGATCCAAGTCCACGACACCCCGACATTTTCGGGGGAGATCAACACTTAGAGCCACTCGCTGTTGCTCAGTGTTATCATTCAGCAGTTTCCCGGACTCCAAAGAAAACCTGGACTTGAGTCCGATTGGTATAGCTCTGAGTAAGATAGGAAAATGTTTTTTTACGGTTTCGTCTACGTAAACACACCAAGAATAAAGCATATGAAAGCACAACAAAACTCACTCTCAGCCGCACGTGAGGACAAGCAGAACGCAGAGCTTCCCGTGAACAATGGCTCTGCACACTAAAACAAGACCACTTAAATCGGTCGACAGTTTGCATTTCGTAGATACCAGGAAATGCAGGGTATCGTGGTTTTTTAATACTGTGAGTAAAGAAGTCCACTAAAACAAGACCACTTAAATCGGTCGACAGTTTGCATTTCGTAGATACCAGGAAATGCAGGGTATCGTGGTTTTTTAATACTGTGAGACAAATAAAGAAGTCTTGGCGCCTATTAAACGTCTCCATCTTCCGCGGTTTAAAGTCCAAAAATCAGTGCACAATTTCTGCACAGATTCCGCACACGTTCTGCACCAAGGAGCGGACGCGTGCTAACTGGGTATCTACAGAGTGGAAATGTCCTCATCGTCAAACGTTCCTCTTAGGATACCACACAGGTTGGGACATTTGGCACGAGCTACAGAGATCAGAAGCGACCCACGTTCATACGTACACTTAGTAGCAGGCTCGTCCGCCCACTCTGTTCCGGATGACCCGCTGGACAAATGCGGGAGGTCTGTATAAACTCGTTTTTGAGATCCGAAATAAAACCAGCACGGCGGCTGATTTCATGGACAGGCCAAAACATCAACAGAACAGATATTATGGTCAAAACGCATCCCTAGAAATTCCGAGTAAATTCAAATCACGCGCTTTATTGAGCAGACAAAACGGGATTGTTTGGAGTATTCTTAAAAACAAATATGCAGAATGTGGAGCGAATTCGACCGGTTTAAAGCAACTATCACCTTCTAGCTACTCTACTTAATCTGTTGTTTTAGCTAATGAATTTTAGGGTCACTGGTGTATTATTCTTTTGTGAGTGCTTCAAGTCAGGTCTTCCCTCCAGGATTGTCTTTTGGTTGTAGTGTGAAAGGGAATGTCGGGTAAACTGTCGGGGTACATCTGCTTGGTTACAGGCGCATCACGTGGTCTCGGAAAGGCCATAGCAGTCGCTCTTGGAGAGGCGGGCGCCACAGTTTATATCACTGGCAGAACCGTAGACTGCAGCTCTAACGGGTCGGAGCATTACACGAGTGGATTAAAGGAAACTGCACGTCTGATTGAGGCTGCTGGTGGGGTACGTTTCTTGTATTATATCCAGCCCCACTACTTTCAAAGAATGTGGGAGGATATCCCAATTCTTTGATCTAAAAGATGTAGGTTTGATTTCCTTAATGAATTCGTCACTCGAGTACATGGAGATTTTTAGGATCCCTCGTTTAGAATTTTCCGAAAAGAATCGTGGCGAACAATCGTAATATTACCTGCATTGTTCACTGACGTAGTTGACGCGTATCGGCCTAGTTTAGGCCTTTAAGTGGCCAAATGAATCTGTGTTACCGTGCAAAAGTGTTTCGTCATCTAGTTACAAATGTACTGAACATTTCTGGTCACTACTCTACCATGACTCTCCGCCCCATCATGGATGGAGAGATCGATCAACCAGAAAAATAAATACAGTTTAATGTCTGTCACCTCTAGCAGTGAAAACGACTGTTCAAGTTACTCCTAAATGAATGGCAATCTCAAAGTAAAATGTTTTAGTGCAAATGTTATATTAAGTCCCCGTGTAAGAGTGAAGGAATCCAAAACAAGAGAAAAGTGCTTTAGTGGGAGCTGAGAACGAGTGAAAGTGTAATAACGTTCGGTGGATTATCGGACTATTAATGCTATAGCTTCGAAACTTCGCGCAGAATTTTGAACGCAACGGCTGTGGCTGCACCGACCGCGCCAGTCGGTTTGTTGTATTCTTCACCTCATAATGCTAAGCTTCTCTTTTGATTTGTCTGGTAGCATGTTTTGTCTTGCTGTACCCCTAGCTTCTAGTGTGGTAACTCACTCGGGTATCTGTTCTGCTTTAACAACGAATTTATCTCTATTCTCGGCAGCAGTCCGTGATTCGAACTCCTGTTCCTGAGTGGTCTAGTGGTGGAGTGATCGTGTTCAGTGGTGGTGTTGCCTAATGGTGTTTCGGGAAACTCCTATTCCAGTGGTGCAAGCAGGATTCCGCCCATGTAGGGGTTTAGTTGAACAAATCTTCAAACTCCGTTGGGTTCCATAACAGCGCCATCCACATAAACGTATACGTTATTTAAGTTTTCACTTCCGGATATGTGAGCGTACGGAGGGTGGTTTCGTACACAACGATATCCGTCAGGGATGCCCACTTCAACCGTTTGTGTGCGATTTCGTGGACAAACACAAAATGAATATAACCAATCAGTTCGCTGTAGCACCCTTTCGGTGCCTAGCTGCTATGCCAATGGAAGGAGGCAAAAGGATTGGGTGCTGCCAGGTTGCCCAAGCCTAGACAGGAGCCGTCGGGTTGCTGACGTTAAGTTCAAACCAAGGACCTTCCGGTCTGTCGGCTAGCGCCTTAACCACTGGGCTGCCTTAAGCTATCTGAGCTGCCTTGAGGTGAACCCCGGTGTTCAAATAGCCTTTGGCGAAAACCATGTCGATCTGTAATATACGAATGTCATTGTTATCATCTTTTAGGAGGAGGAGGCGCAGGTGTTTTTGGGCGAACAAACCAAAATTATCCCGTTCCTTGATACGCACTTTGCACATGGACATGAGGTGACCAAACCCACCACTTACAACCCAGAGAGAGTTGTATTACTTCTGATTTTAGCGTGACACATGAGGGCAAAGCAAGAGTGCGTGGTTTGGGTCGCGTTTGCTAATTTGAGACACCTATGGCGTCAAAGCGACATATCCCTGAATTTCAAGGGACGTGTTTATCAGGCTACAGTGCGAACTGTTTCGTTGCACGACAGAGACTTGACCTTTTCGAACAGCAGAACTGAGACGTCTTCAGGTGTTCGACAATAGTTATCTCAGGACCATAGCTCATGTAGATTTGTATGGTAGAACCCGTAACGAGGCATTTAGGAAGCGAGTTTCCGGTTGTGCAACGGGCACTTCCGTTGAAGAATGCGTCCAGCACCAGAAGCTGCGTTGTTTAGGCCGTATATCGCATAGGACGAATCATCGTTTGCCGAAGGAAGGGCCGTTTTCCGTAACCGAAGTAGGGAGATGGCCAACCCCTGACCTGGTGAAGAGGTATGAAGATACTACCAGACATTTGGGTGCCTTCCAGGATGGGGACCGCGTGATCCCCGCTGCTTCTGGCTGAAGACGCTGAGAGATCTGGCTGCTAATCGATGTCAATGGCGTTCTTGTTTTCAGTTTCTATCCAGATTGCCTGAGTTGATGTCTAGAGACGTAGGCACTTTTGAATGATTGTAGCAACCCTGCACTAAGTCTCCGTCGTTATTCAGTAGGGTCATGTCGGGTATGGTTTACAAAGAACATTGAATGAATCCTTTGAATTACATCGTAGTTTAAGTGCGTTTGTCTCTCCGCTGTTCCAATAGGAACTTTTCCTTGTTGATAATCGTAGCTGTTGTTAGTCCCCGTCTTTTCGATTTTTACTTTTTACCGGGTCTTCTTTTCCATGAATACATTACAACTAAGTACCAGCAATCCTCACTTTGGAGATGGATGACAGTGAAAGTTGGGTGCTGATGTATTTGGGGGAAGTAAGTGGTGGTGTACGTTTCATCCTTGTGAAATGTTATCCGACGGAGACTTTTTTCTTGGAAAAAAACTCGGTGGTTTAGGCGCTAAATTTCTGAATGAAGAGTCACTGGTTCGGAAAGAAAGCTTTTCGGTTGCTCCTGCCTGGGTCTAGCTCCTGCCAATCCCAGCCTTCGTGCCTTCTCCGGGTTACGCATCAGGTGTGCACCGAAAGGGCACCGCACATTAAGGATCACTTATCACTATGACTGCGTCTTCTTGACAGCCCTAATACTTAAATCAGGATACAAAAGTGACTATCGGGGTTTTATAGCCTTACTGGCAGTCCGTCGGTTGTGCGTCTGGGGTAGCTGGCTAAATCTTGCTAAACACTCAGCATCAACAATAAGAACATAGGCCAATCCTGGACGATTAGGCGGATGAAACTATCTTTAGAATATGACGACCATGATGGCGCTGCCGTTCAACGGTTATCCACGCACCCCATGCTTCCTTACACCCGAATTCTTGCGTGAAAAACCTGAGCTGCCCCGTCGAACAAAGACCAAACCTTATTCCCGCCAGATCTCCATAAAACTCCATGCTTTGGTCTAAAAACTGTTGAACTTCTCATGCCATGGTGTCTTCAGAGTATAAAGTATTCTCGGCTCTCCCAACTGCTTGGACAACCAAAACGCAAGCTGAATGACTTTCCAATCACTTTCAGATGCTGACTGCCAACCCATTGTAATGCTCGTGCTACATGACTACCACATAGACATAGTCCTTCTCTCAGTAGTTCGGTAACCTAGCTCCCTGTTAATAGCTGCTCTAGTCCTGGGCGACACTGCAATGCTGGCGCTACTTTGGTGGGTCAGAGGTTGCATCTGACCAACCTCTGGCACTTGTCCTGAGCTCACCCCCCTAAAACTAAGGGGGCCCAATGGACGTACCAATCATCTCGACACAGCTACAACGCCCAGAAACAAGTGCCAGTTTATTGGACACCCAAGGAAGTTCCAAGGCGTGATATTCTGGTTATTGCAGAAAATTAAGAAGTTTGCGCAAGTCTATCTGTCGGGCCTTGGTGGAGGTTTTCAGATGGCTGGTGTCAAACGAACTTCCATCACGTCATTCAGGTGTACGTCTAGAGTACGCGCTTGCAGCGCACCGGAAGTGGCTTTCACGATGAACAAACGGCCAAGCAAATGGAGTGAATTCTGCTCCGATCGCGATGTGTTTCTGTAGAAGGTCGCAGGTTGTAAAGAAGAACCGAAACGGAAGGAAAAGATTATTCAGACCGGAACCAGTTAGAGCGAAGTTTAACTTGCACCTGTATGCTTGCCAGAGGCACTGTCCCCAAACGCTCTGAAAACATCATACCACAAGAGTATGTTAATCAATGCCGTGCGCTATTAGACGCACTGAATGCCGAACTTTTACCCATTAACCCTAACTAGATTTACTACTGGACGAATTGAATGAATGGCCTTTGATCCTTGATGGAGTCACTTACACGACAGATAGCCTTGGCTAAAGTTGGTATGTGTACTGTCAGAATGGGTGCATCACGTCCCACTGCTCAAGTCAAGGGTGCGCTTCACCAAGGACGAAGACGGCTTACCAGGCTAAGCTGGCATGCCCAACTACCATTCCAAACTATCGTTGTCGAAAGTGGCTGAACATACCCATGGTAGTCATGAGAACGAAGGTAGCGAACAAAGCTTGTTTTCTGTGATTGCTCCTCTTGGCTAATACATCACAAATTCATAAGGTACCAGAAATCACATGGAAAAGGTTAAGGTCGGGGCTACATGCACTTTAGAAAGATAGAAATGAAAGGAAGGGGGAGTTGGATGAGGGATAGCTCAATGCGTCACGGAATCACGTAAGTGACGTCAATCTCAGACAGACTTGTGGGACCGGATGTTTCGTAGGCCAGTTCAAGTTCGGAGGTCGCACAAGTTTCTTTTGGATGCAAAGTTGCGGATCCAGCAGTCCGATACCAATTGATTCTGCGATCGGCTTGCTCCTTGTCTATGACACGACTGGTGTCGACCAAATGTGATGCAATCGAGCTTGAGCCTGGTTTCTTCCAACTATCACTCAGAGATATGGGATTGTGTTCCCGCATTCTGTCCGACAAATGCCTTGTCGTACGAAAGTTGTCGAAAGTTTCGTTGGAGACAGTCCATGACATGACAACTTGGAATGCAAGTAATTGCGGTCAAAAGGTGTAGAGCTTTTTCGCAATAATTCCCTACTCTTATCTTTTTCCTCCACACCTTACGAAGGCATTTTTCCTTTGAGGTGTTAGTTAAGCGCAAGTTCATATTGCTGCCAATTTCTCCGGAAAATCCCGCATGCGTTAATCAGAAGAATGCTCAGTTGCTGTCTTACGGGTTGCAAGAAATATCCAGCATCGTAAATTTTGGTGATCTTGTCATGTGGCGAGATTGTCCGTTGACAGCCTATGCTCTGTCCTCGGTACCATGTTCATAGTAGTGCAGTCCTGGAGGTGAAAAATATTTGACCTGCAAAACATATGTAGGCGGGTAAAACTACTGACTTTGGTGACTTCTGCCCGATAACAGGGAGTCTTTTTTAACCTTTGTTCAACCGATGAAATTTCTACAACTGTCAAACACTAGTGACAATGATGGTACTGATTCCTAACACGAGAAAAACCTACAAATATACTGCTACTCAACAAAAATGCGATCCAGTCCTATGAATACAGATACAGAGATTCCCTTATTTTCCCCTTTCTATAGATAATTTTGTAGGGGATTGGGGGTTTCCTTACAAAAAATCAAGATATAGAGTGCGGTGTTACTTCTCACAAATCAGGCTGCTTTAAAAAATAGACCATTGTATACCTGCTATACCCGGCTACGTTAAGAAAGTTAAGTGGTTCATCTGTAGCACCCTTTCGATGACCAGCTGCCATGCCAACCGAAGGGAGCACAAGGACTGGAATACTGCCAGGTTTCTCATGCCTAAACAGCGGAAGTCGAGAGGCAGAGGTCGGTCTCGGACCACGGACCTTCCGGTCAGTAAATTCGCGCTCTAACCAATGAGCCATCTTATCTCCCACTACGTACTCCCATTTCTACGATGTATAGCATCCATGACGGGTTTATTTGGTACTACGGTTAGCAAAAATTTATCTTTGCAGTTCCGGGACGATGTTTAGTTGCAGTCGGAACGCATGTCTTTATCCGATATAAACGAACACAAAATTTTTAGACAGAAACATAATAAACTTAAACCTGCTTGAATTAGACATCGTAAGTACCTGGAAGGTCAGATTCCTGAATGTAACAGAACGCCCGAAGCCTACTGCTCCACCAAAATCTCAACAGGAAAGCCGGCAAGCATCCAGGCCAGTCAATCATTCGATCAATTCAGCGAAAGCTGATGAGTGTTCATGCGCGCCACAGAAGCACGACCGAATGTGATCTACGTTCAGGCATTTGATAGAGGCACGATCGATGTTGATGGATGTTCACTAACGCCTACCAGACAGTCTGGACCAATGTCAGAAAGTTCTTTTTAAATAGCGTGGGTCCGTTGTAGCTTTTGCCCTCACACTAGCTTGTTCGGAATATAGCTATGTTCCCTCCTGTGAGTCTTTTTTTCCGGCAACTAGGCACTGGAGCGGGTCAGCAGCAGATATCACAGATTGACAAATCAGTAGATATAACAGTAAACTCCCAATTTTACGATCAATGGGCGTTGAAAATTTTAAGATCCATATCTACAGAAGCCTATTTCACACAGGCTGCGTACTTAGAGCATTCAAGGATATCCATCTGAGTGGACCAACACCGTAGTACCCGGCAGTTCCGTCTGTCTTTCTCGTTTTTATGTTACCTCAGTAATAGCAGAACTTGTGAAGAAACTATGTATTGACGTCATACCCCTCATCGAACAAGCCCGACATCAATCAGTATCATGTCCTTGGCTAATGTCTTCCCGCCAGTTTTCCTTCTTCATGGGACCAAATGTATTTCTTTTCATCCTTCGTTTTTACTCGAGTTGGCTCACAACCACTCAACTGATGCATTTGCATCTCAAAGTTAAGCCGGTGGTTCATGCTCAAAGAACGGAGGCCTACCTGCTCAACCGCTATTGTGCCGCTCTTGCACATGCGACCCACCAGTTATGTAAGATGATAAAGAACATAACCCGCTTTGACTCGGAACCAGATTCGGGAGATCTATCACTAACGTAGTGGTCGCTGAGTTGGCTGAGTTCCGACTGTTATACTGCTCCAAGCTCCTATTTATCTGCTAAGATTTGTTCAATTTCCATATCTAACAGGAGGTAAGGCGATTACAGTACGGCAGTGAAGCATTGGTGTTGAACACTGATGTCATGCTGTCGTTGATGATGATGATGATGATGAAGGCGATTACAACTCGCTCACACAACTCGATCCTGTGCACTCAGAAGGCGTCCGTACGCGCATTGATGCCTCCACGGTCTGCAGATGTGACAGTCAGGCCAATCAATTGTGGCGCGAGTTTTCACAATTACCCACAGGCTCCGCCTTATCTTTATTTTACTTGTAGTGTGGTAGTACCAGTAGTGTGGTCCTCCCACCTTACTAACTGGAAAAAGAAATAACAAAAGTACGAAGGTTGGCCAACTTGTCTTCCGAATTTAGCAATGGCTTTGATGCATGAGTCCGTATCTGTCAGGTTCCTTAGGTTTGTGGTTACGCTGCTGTGTACCATCCTATGGACGCCTTAGATGTTCGTCAACCGCTGTGGAATAGTCTTTCTTGCCATCCCTGATAGTTGGCGTAAAGGCCTCGGATCCACAGCATTTTTGTGCGACGTTGTGACTGTTTCGCTCCTTATATCTAATCTATTAGGTCTGTGGTTTCTCTTGGACTGGCAAGGTGGGCCTCAAGATATAGTGTACCCGAACAGACTGCTCTGAACACATCTCCACACCGAATTCCCGCAATGCGATGTTTACCATAAATTTCACGACCCGTGTTATGTTTGATGGACAGTGTGATTAGCCATAGATTATTCGCTGCACGATGCACTTATTTTCTACATCGCTTTTTATTCCTCAATGTGTCTGCTAACACTGCACGCTGACGCTCACCAGGTTTGCTCCCCAATATCCATATGGTACTATATCTATCACGTGCTGTTCTCTCCTCTTGTGCACAGTCGTCGACCTGCGCAACCATTGTTATCGATGTCAGCAATATACAAAATTTCACTGTAAGGTTGATCTTGATTGAGAAGGCCTGTTGTGAGCAGGAAGTAGCCACACTGTTTAACGTGAACCATGGTGCCTGCACTTAGATGGGGTTATCTTGCAGACTCTATACTTGACTTAGGCTCAGGGGGCACGAAAACCGAGTGTGTGGCAACTAACGATGGTGGTCTTAATGGCGTCATCTTTGACCGATTCCTTTGCGGTCATAGTTAATCACGTGGTTTTCCATTCATTCTGAATTCCCAAAGAACTCATTGGAATTATTTCACCACAATTTCGAAGAAGTGCTGGACCAAAGATAAAAATTTAAATTTCTGAATAATGTGCTAATCCTTAGGTTGTTACGTTTGTTCTTGGACGCTCATGACCGCTTTGAGCCGTAAAGTTCCACTTGTTTTTTTGGCGACCTAGGGGTTTTGTTCCCACACAAATACCTGATAGTCTAAGCCTGTTGAGATAATTGTCGTTTGGGAAAGTGAGTTTTTCTGTCGTCAAAGTGCGGCCAACTCACTCGTAGTCATACTTTGTGCACATCACAGTTTGTTCACAGTTTTGCATATGTTTCCACGCTACTTACTACTACTCACTACTACGTAGCTATGTCCTTTCTGATTATGAATATGATGTATAAAGAGATTATTTGAGCTTTGATAAGTTTGTCTTCCACACGCAGGGTAATTTTTGTGAGAACTCTATGGAATACAAGGATATAGATCTGGATTGACATATGGTTAGAGTTTCAGCTGTTTTGCTTGTTTTATACTCGGTGACCGTCCGCATCAACTATTCATGTTTAATGTAGCACTTTCCGTTTTACCGAAATACCCTTCACTTGTTTTTCTACCCGCTCGTAGAAAGCTATAGCAGTGGCAGTCGATCATTCTGATGATAGCCAAGTCGCTGGACTTTTCGCTCGTATTCGGCGTGAACAGTGTGGGCGTCTGGACGTATTGGTTAACAATGCCTTCAGTGCATCGAGCTATCTGGTCGCCGAAGCCAGTCTGGACACTGTGTACTGGGAACCAATGACAACTTTGCGCAGCCCAAGTGAGGAGTGGGATTTGATTAATCGCGTTGGATTGCGGAATGCGTACACGTGTTGCGTTCTGGCCACGAGAATGATGGTCGAGTGTCGATCCAACATGAATGCTGGGAGTTGTCACACATCGACGTTGGAGAACAACGTGAACGAAAAGGCATGTTTGAAGAGCGTGATGTCTAATCCCCTACCAACTGGAGTCATCGTTAACATATCCTCTTATGGTGGAATGGAGCGTATTTTCAACGTGGCGTTCTGTGCTGGTACGTCTAGTAATAATAACTCTAATCTAAAATTGAGTTATATATGGCTAGTGTCAACCGATAGGTTTGGTAGCATATGACTAAATTAGCATCTTATTGGAAAACCATCTTGGCATTCAAACCGCTAAGCACGAACGGACTTCACCTTATTCGTCTAAGCGAAACACTGATTCTTCCAAATCTGAAAGGTGGGTGCATGGCTAACAATAGGACGACCCGGCTATGTGTCACGAATGCCGAATCGTTGTCTTGTGAGAGGAGTGTTGCTCCCTGTACCTCCTTCAGAATGATGAAATCCGTGAGATGGACAATGTGTAACCTGGCAGGAGGGCGTGAAACAGCTTCTGAAGAGATTGGGTGTTTTTGGTCCCGTCCGCTTTCCAGGATAGGGTCCACTTGACACACCCTCATATTTAGTCCGGAGGGAGAATTTTCAAGCAATGGCGTTTGACTGATATCATGCTTTCGAATTCCTTCCCGATTGTCTGAGCGTTTGGAGGAACCTCAGAGTCTCTACTTAGGCTAACAGCAGATTTCTCACTCGTCCAGTCTTTTCTTTTTTCACCCTGAAACCTCGGAAATAATTAAGTTAGAAATATGTAATAAGTAATATGACGTTGAAGCATCAGTGTCAACACCGGTCTCGCTGTCACTGGTGTTGGTAATAACCCAACTGATCATGATAATGAAATAATAGCGATAATAATTAAACAATGATGAAAATAATAGCAAATAATAATAAATATCTTAAACAATCAGCTGGGTTCCAGGCGAGTCTCTCATCAAAACCTAATTGCTGTGCAAATGAGTATTTCGTTAAAGCAGCTGTAAGATCCGGGTGGCTATGGATCTCACAGGACGATTTCGGCTGTTAGATTATTCGCAGTTCGTAGCCAGTAGTCAACAGAAGCAGTCAGACGTGGGCAGCAGATGATGTACTGAGGACTGACAGGGACTGATTCTACAGAAAACGAATTAGTAAGCATCATGAATTCAGCAAACATACATTCAATAATGACGCAATCAGCAGAAGCATAAAATAGTCACTAACGCAGCAGGGATTTCTAAAGGCAACAGACGATGTACAAACATACATATAGGGGCAGTCTGACAGTGTGAGTTGGCCGTATAGAGAGGTAACGGCGCAGGAGTCAGTACGTTCGGTCGGCGGCGCGACGCGGCAGCTCGTGTCACGTGACAAATCGGATTGCGCAGCTTCGTCCGTTTAAAACAATCTCGCCAAAGGATGACAGGTGCGGCACATGGGCGTCAGATTGGTGTAGTGGGTGACACGTTCACCTCCCGTCCGGAGGCTCTGGGTTGATACCCGGTACGCGGCAGCTCGTGTCACGTGAGAAGTTGGATTACGCAGCTTCGTCCGTTTAAAACAATCTCGCCAAAGGATGACAGGTGCGGCACATGGGCGTCAGATTGGTGTAGTGGGTGACACGTTCACCTCCCGTCCGGAGGCTCTGGGTTCGATACCCGGTCGGTCCGCTTTCCCGTCGGAGTGGACGCTCGAAAATAGTAGCAATCGAGACGAACTTGCAAGCGCGATGATGTGTTTTTCGGGAGGGGATTGCTAGGCTGGAACAAGCTCTTAAGCTAAACGTACTTTTCAATGTTGATATCAATTGGACTCAGCACAATGAGTGCATTTTGTGTCTTTGTTCAGGGACTCCAGGGGTGAAGTGATTCGCCAGCTATTCGTTGCCTGGAATTGTTCTTATTTTACATACCGTTTTTAGTCCGACTTTGTACAGCAAAACCTGTCTGTCGTGTTCGGTAGGTGGGTGCCAATCCTATTGAATCTGTACATATACCCGAATAATCACGTGGTCGATAGAAAGCTCTACAACTGTGTTGATTGAGGTCACCGGGTCTACACACCTTTTTCATGTCTAGTCGGTTTTCGCTCCATGATTCATCACAGCAGAAGCACCACGGCACTTGCGAAACACCTGACTACGGTACTTGTATGGCCTGACAGCGTTTTGACTGAATACATTACGCATGACCCTTTGCAAGCGCAAACTTATTTAACTCAGCGACAGACAGGTGGCACACCTACGGTACCCGGGCTGCATTAATCAGTCCACCATCAATATCGACTGGGGGATAAAATGTGAAACTCATGTCTATCGGTGAACGAATAGGAGCCGTCAGCCCGTGTACATTTGCTTCACCGCTTGGGGTGGCAAAGAGATGGTATTCAGGTTAACCTTCTACCAGCCGTCTCGCTTGTTTTTCCTTGTATTAACTCTAGCTTTTGCCTCCTAATCAATACGGAGTCTATCCTCACATTACACCTCATTTTTTCTTGTCATGCTCTCAGTAATGCCTGTTTCTTTGAATGCTTGGCGCCGAAATAGGTAAACTCCTAATTTCAGTTTCTATGGTCCAGATCAATGAAACCTATCACTACGCTTGTAAATTTCTCAATAATATGGATTTTATTTCTAGCANATGGTCCAGATCAATGAAACATATCACTACGCTTGTAAATTTCTCAATAATGTGGATTTTATTTGTAGCAAGTAGAACTAACAGAATAATCTCCATTGTGATCGCCAACAGGTTTCTATTCTCTCCAGCGCTCAGTCCCCCAAATAACAACGTTTTCATGAGTTAGAGTTCGTAAAACTAGACACGGATATCAGTGTTAGATCACTAACAGGTTGTTAGACAGTGGCTGGTACTATTCCACTTTTTAAACGTCACCTTACATCACTCTTATCCTAACTTATTTCCCATCGGACAGGCAAATCCGCCCTTGATCGGATGAGCATGGAAATGGCACGGGATTTGAAGAAACGCGGCGTGGATGTCGCCGTACTCAGTCTTCTACCGGGCCTGGTTAAGACTGAAACTCTTGTGGCTGCCTTGGAGTCGGGGCAAGTTCCACAGCTTCTGAGCACTGCTATGAATGCAGGGTTAGGTAAGTCTGTTTGGATGCATTACACCTGTTTGTGGAAGCGCATCCCTGTTGGGATACCACGGAACTCTTAACCTTTTGGTCGTCTTGTCCTGCTAGGCTTGCCTTGTCCACCCCTCAGGTCTGTTGGTCTGTTATGCAATAGGGAATTGTTATCGGGTCAACATACTAAAGTAGATGAATATTTGCTCGGTATCTCAGCAGTCTGTTTCTTTTCTCTCCCAGCGGGGCTTGATCTATGGGGGTCCCGGTTAGCGCTCTGTCATTGACAAATGATGCTTGTGTAAAGTTTTAAGCTTTGTACTTCGCTAAGTAATACGCCAAATTCATGGATTGAATTAGTTCACCAAAGTCAAAAGTTTTCTGTCCAATCATACATGCGCGCACGCGCACCATTGTTTGACCACTTCCAATTTCGGCCTTACAGTTGAACGCTTCGTTGATTCTCAAACTAAATAGACTAGCTTACGACACAGAGCAGAATCTAAGCTGACTTCCTATTGGTACGAACTTATCCGGCAAGACCGCCTGAACGTTATGACAAATGCTTAATCGGAGCACTGAAGGTTAGTCGGTTTGATTCGGCAACTAGGTGGACCGAAAGGTATTCGACGGCAACCTTGTGAGTAATTTCCTTTACGAAAAATATACTACGAGATCTCAACTATCATGCCAACTCGAACATGAGGCAGCCTTTGTGCAGCACATTCTGTTGAAGAATATCATAAACGAGAGATTCAGCTGAGTCTACCGTGAAAACTAAATTGATATGCATATGAATGTATTTGTCGAAATCTGAGTCGCCCACTAAGTGGATGTAAGCAATGAAAGCAGGTATTTTGACGTCCGCTAATTCGGCAATCGATAGACCACAAAGCATCGAGCAAGGTGACCAATCAAGAGACGTCGCTTGATTGGCGTGTTACCACACTTAGGAGTTTCCTCAGGTGTGTACAATGACTGGCTAATTACTTACGATCCTAACAGATTGGCTCTGCTCATACCGAAGATTTTGAAAATTCCATTGTCGGTCAACAGTTGTCCTGTTCCCAGGCAACTCATAAGCTAATGTGTTGTGGATATTTTGCCCGTTTTGGCCCTGATATATACCACTACTCTCCTGCTTTCTAACTAGTCATTTGGTTAGCTTGAACCATCCATTAGTCTCATGTGGTTCGTTAATGGACTTTTTTCTAAGTCATTTCAATGGGCTCTGTTCTTTTGGGTTGTTTTGATCATGATGCAAGCCAGAAGTTCATCGATTTACTTTACTTATCTGACGGAACTTCAGACCCACTCACTGGCTACAGTCTAACGGGTGGAACTGGTTATTTGAATAATGGAATGGCCACTGGCTGTGATGGAATCAGATTTGTTTAAAACTTACCCTGACTTGATGCAAACCTCCTGCTAGTTACACAAAGGTGTAGCAACGGGGCCTATCAGTTTATTTTTATGATCTCAGGACTCTGAAACGATCATCCGCTAACTAGCTGAGATTCATATGACGATAGAAATTATATCCTGTGTGAATTTATCGCTGCAACGAGTTTGCGCTTTATCGCCAATTCTGGAGTGATCATGGGAAATCGAAACCGTGTACTCAGGAGCACCAGTTCGCTATGCTACCCAACGACCTACTAGGTTCTGGCTTTTTCACCATGTCTGTAGCTGGATCTACACCCAAAATATATTTTCTTTGGTCTCTTATTGACTGTGGGTCCTCACTGAGTTGAACACTTCACAGCTTTAAAGAAATATTCGAGTACTGCTCATTATTCCTCATTTGCTCATTCGATATTCTGTCAGGATTACCTCCAGAAGTTCCTGGACGCGTTGTTGCCAACCTGGTCGGCCAATCACGTGCAGCGCTGATTAACCAATCCGGCCGATGCCTGTTTGGCGAAGAGCTGGCACGACAGTTTGCAATAAAACTTCCGAACCGACGATACCCGCTCAGTCGTCGGGCCGTGAAGACTATTCTACTTATGGCTGGCTGGACCCGCTTAGCTTGTCTGGTTCCCTCCTTCGTCAAGATCCCCAGGTGGGCGCTGTTGATCTGGTGCTCCAACTTCCGCTAGACCCTTCACTGTCACAGGAGCGAAGATTTCGCCATTTCTGTGCTGCTAGTCTTTTGTTCTTTATTTTCAGGGACCTCTTTGTACAGCGTTCTGTTTTGACGATGAATTAGCACTGCTCACAGATTCCCACAGACTTGTCGTCATATTTCTCCTTACTTGCGAATGTGATTATTTTTCTTCGTTGTTTATTGCTATTATTTTTATTCTTGTTATTACTACTGCTATTGTTCCGACATGAGTACTATTATTGTTATTATCATTACTACCAGTACTCTTTGCTAATCTTTAATTTCTACATATAGCGGCCACTTTTTCATATCCAACTTTAACTTCAATGTACATGCTCACGCGCATTTATCATACACAACAGCATACTTGAACAGCACCCATTGCTCTGTGTTTTGAACCATAACTGTCCGTTTAGTACAGGAATCGTTCGCAATGATTTCGATTTGCAGCACTTTGAATAACTATACTTGCTTGCTCTTCTTCACACCTGATTTGAGTTCTTCCTCGATGTCTTTGGTGAATCTAGTGAAGAACGAAAGGAGCTGTTCTTGGAACTTTCTAACCCCATCGAATTCTACTGCACTGGAGATGGTACAAAACCAATTGGTGATTCAAACTGTGTTTGGGGAGAGATAGCGTCCAGTCTGGTCGGTTGGGTGAATAAATGTGGTGTGTAGCATTGTCTGTTTACCTAAGGGGTTTTTCATTTTCTGGGTTTTGTAACGTGTTTACTTGGAGAACGTGATTGTCTGCTGAGAAACTGTCTGAGTAGGTGTACAAGCGGAGCGTAACCTCTGCTTCAGTTCCTCATTTGATGCTTGTGATGCCTTCTAACGTTAGCAATTAGCCAGAGGACATCGGTTGACTGCATGCGTGAGATGGAGCTTTCATGCTACCAGAAGGAAGCACGAGGGCTGGGATACTGCCTAGTTGCTGAAGCCTAGACAGGGGAAGTCGGGAGGCAGAGGTCGGGTTCGAACCACGGACCTTCCGGTCAGTGGATTGG